GGCAGGGGAAGGGATCTGCCTTCTCCATGCAGCACTTTCATCATCCCTCCCCCTTAAAATCACAAGCTCCTCAGGCCACGGGCAGGCTCTGACTTGATGCTTCTACAAAACCAAGAATAACAAGGGTCCAGACCTCACCTGTGATCTCCAAGACCTCTTCTTCCCCCTCAAGATACTAGCAGCCACATTCTAGGCTTGATTTCTCCTGAACTTAGGGGTGCTTCAGATCTACTTCTGTATTTTTGAGGCTCAGACCCCAATGTTCCTACAAAATCAGGCAACTGGTACTATCAGAATCAAAACGAAAGAATCATTCACCAAAGCGATTTGTAAAACACTGGCCACTGCGACCATCTGCAGCTGGATTTCCATCCCTGTAAGTGAACATCACGTTCAGTAGCCACCATCAAGGGACACTCAGTGAAAACCACTCCAACATTATGAATTAGAGGTGTCCAAAACCCCAACCTCAGCACTGGAAGTTTAAACTTAAAGAGGGGGTGCACATATCCCTGCTCCAGACACGAGCATCTTGGCGAACATGGCCCTGCCTCAACACAGCAGCTACATAATGTCCCTTACTCCCCAGGAAGGATGACAGTAAGTGGTAGCAAAAAGATTTCGATATTTAGAAAACTCTCAAAAACTCTAAGGACCCTTGTTTACGTATGAGCAAAGGGCAAACTCCACCTCAGGCTTATTTGGAGGTTTCTGTGGCTCAGACTGGCCATTTCTCACCAGCCTGATTTTACAGGGCTGGAGAGCAGAGCTGAGCAGGGAAGGAGCTGAGTTACAAGTCTCTCCTCCAGCTTTATTCCTGGCAGAGACAATTTGCAGCAGTGTTGCTCGGCACGTCAAGTCTGGCACCTGCTTACAATAAATCCCTAACGATGTTGAAAAGTTAAACGTCCATTTAGTTTAATTTCTGGTTTAGATTTGGATTTCTACGTACCATAAATGCTAGAAAGAATGTTTTTTTGAAACAATGCTGCATATTTACCTTGGAGATCCTCTATAATTGGCTGTCCTTCACCTAAGATTTCTTTCTAAATGCAAAAGGATGCTCTCTGCACAGAGTCTAATGGGGAGGTTTTGCCACTATCACCTGCTAATGCTTTCATGATGGCTGAGAACTTTTGAGCAGGTTCCCTTGCAGGTGGGATGGTTTGATGCACTACTTTGGGTCTCAGAAACCTTGGGGGTTTGAATGAGAATGGTCAGTGTAAGGTTAATGGTTGGACTAGATGATCTTCAAGGTCTTTTCCAACCTAGATGATTCTGTGAATCCCAGCAGACACTAAAGGAAGAAAAATGCCTCAGGGGGTGATGTTAACCTGTGCAGTTTGGGAGTCTTCGCTTTTGGGACACATGTGATGGCACAAAGCAAGATGGGCACAGTCAAGCTGTCTGGCCCTGCTGAGCATGAACCTGCATGGTGGATGCGTCGAGAGGCTCCTCACGCTTGGAGGTGCCATGTCCCAGAGCTTCCCCTCCACAGCCACCTCTTCAGCACAAACAGCTTCCTCGGGATCGGAGAATCAAGTGACAGGGTCAGTGCTGCCCATCCAAACCTCTCTCTCGGGAGCAGGGAGGACACACACCCGCTCTCACTGTCCCTGGTGTGCATGGGACAGGCAGCGTGGTGGGACCCCGGTGCCACACGGTGGGGACAGTCCCCAGCCCTGAGCCCCTGGCCGGGACCACGAGCAGCTGCACCCGTGCTGGGGAGCTCTTCCGCAGCCTGCCCATGGGATAAGTGGCTGATGGGGCCTGGCTGTAAAATCCTGGATGACATTTTCTCTCCACTCACCTTTGATCCTGGTAAACGTGCTCTGGGCGCTGCAATCTGATTGAGAATATCTCTCTCTGTGTGCAGATGTCCTGCAAAAACTACACCCACAGCTGTAAATCACAAAGCCCTCCCCAATCTGGTGGTTAGTGACAATGAATAATGATTTTTCTAATGGGAACTGGCCAGCATTCAATCCACTCCTTGATTATTTTTTTTTGAGCAAAGACTATTTCTATTGAGAGACTTGCAATAAGTAAGACTCTTTGATTTATTTGAGATCAAAAACCAGCCAAAGGGGGAAATTTCTGGAAGCTCAAGCCATGGGGACTCATGTCAGAGCAGGCAGACCCCAAACTGAGATCATGTCAACATAAACGCACACAAAACACCAGAAATCGTGGGGTGTCCCAGCTCCTCGTGCTCCCCGTTCAGGTCTTGTGAGGACACGGGTGGGTGGGTGAGCACGGGGAGGGGACAGTGCAGAGATGCGTCCGTGCAGAGTGTGTTTCAGTCATCGTGACCCAAATCTCCCCCGTGGTAGGTGGCCCAGGATGGTCCAGCACACCCAGACCAGCAGAGTCTGCCTACGCCACAACCAGCACCACCCTGCGGGGATCCAGTGGGGACAGACATCCACCCTCCCGGCGTGCTCTCCGTTCCGCCGAGCCGGCGGGCTGCCAGGCCCCTCCTCTCTGACATTTCCAAACTCGCTAAGCCTTTTTCCTTACAAACGTGAACTAGGCAAGAAGAATAAGTTCACACTTGGAAAAAAAAAAAAAAAAAGCAGCCTTTTTTCTTTAAAGCACAACTTTTTTTTGGGTTCCTGACAAAGCAATATTCTCCAGGCCAGTTGGAATCTGGAAAAATACACTTACTCAACCTAGCCACCATGACTCCAATAACAATTATAAAATGTCCAATAAAACTTGCATGTAATGTCAATTCAAATCTTGAAAAGCAGAATTAAGTGGTATATCAACATTAAACTTTATTGCTTCCTTTGCAGAGCAGAAGTATTGTCAATAAAAGTCATTCTGAATGAAGAAAAGGGCAGTAAATATTAAATAAACAGGTTTTTGTTGAAATGCTATAAATGCACCAGAGCTGCATTTTACACTGGGACCCTTTTTTCCTTTGCAGACTCCCCTCATGATAGAAATAAGTCAGTAATTGCAAACTATCAATAAAGCGCCAATTAAAGGGTGGTTAGATGCATGCATTTACAATATGTCATTATGAGCCTTTATTGTATGTAGTTGGCTTTTTCAGATCCCAGTGGCTCTGTCTGAAGTCCCCCAGCACACAACAGTCATGCTGCTTGTTAGGGGCCCTTGGAGGAAGCGTGAGGGTGCTGGAGCCCAGCGCCAGCCCGAGAGCCCTGGCCGGGGCTTGGGGCTGAATTTCCACTGTGCCCCAGGCTGGTCAGGACCCAGAAACCCAGAGCTGAGAAGGGGATGAGAGAGGAGCATTTGGTGAGGTTTTTTGCTCCTGGAAGTTTCTTCTGGCAGAGATGTGAAGACAAAGCATCATCATCTCAGCTCATCATGCTATTATTTTTCTGCCAACGCAGAAGCGAGCAGAGCACGACAGCTCTGCCCCGAGAACACAGCAGCTGTGTCAAAGCCTGGAATTTGGCAAAGCAGTTTGTTTTCTGATAGAGTGCGGTGTGTTCTGTTCCCTTCTGGGTCCACTCACCTTAGAAGGAGCCATCGCCATCCCCCCTACACTTCCTTAACGTAAAGTATTTCTACTCGCAGTTCCCGCTTGCTAATCCAATTTCCACAATGCCTCAACACCCGCCTGCCGCTGCAACGAGCAGCTGACAGAGATGGGATGTTTTGCTTTGTCCATGAGACAAAGGAGTGGTTTTTTTAGGGTTGGGCTGAATATAATCCTCCCAGTGACACTGAAAACCTCAGGTGCGATGCCTGTCGCAAACACAACTGGAGCAATGCCCCAAGACCTCTTTGGGTCAGAGCTATTCCGCTTTGCTGTCGGGACCTCCAGCTGCCTCAGAAGATCCATCCTAACTAAACCAAACCCAACGCCAGTGCCGAGTGAGCAGAGGTACAAGCTCTACATTCAGTGCTTCGCAGACACAACAGGACACCTTTCGGATGCCAGAGAAGGAGTAGGCATCTCTATGAGGACACAAATTCTGCAGCTTTTATGTCAGCCCTTTAAAATCTGATCAGCATTTTTGTGGTTTACCAGTAGAGTTTATAAGCTGTTCTCCAGTTTAATCATTACATGTATTTACAGGAAGCAGTAGCAGCTACCAAGTATGAATTTCATGATGCTGAAACAATATTGAACAAACGCTGCAGTCAGTGAGGGCTGAATGCTGCGCTTCTGCAGGTTGGAGTAGCTGGGGTTTAGTGGGCTCTTTGAATTATGCTGGGGCAGAGATGAGAAATCCAATGTGGTCTAGGAAAGTATATATGCAGAAGCTTCTGTCCTCTGACTTTTGCACAGTTTTATTTATTTAATCTACAAAAACACCCCAACAGATTCAACTGGAACGTGAATGACATTAATTTTTGAAGAAATTATTTTCACGACGAGCCTAGGCTCAGTGAACCTGATGGTTGTGAAAAACAGCCTAAATATCTTCAGAGATAAAAAATAGCCCTTGAATGTTAAATATATATATAAATAAAATCTCTTCAAAGGGTGAAAGATGTCTATAAAAATTAACTTCTGAAAAAAAGGTGACTATTCATCCCAGCTGCCCGCAGCATCAGACCCTCTGCACTAGTCATGGCCTGACATTTCTCTGCCACCCATATGAATGGAAATCAAACCAGCGACAAGGGAAACAAACCTCCAGCATCACACTAAGAGCAGCCACGCCAGTGCAAACCACCCAAGAGCCAACAGTTAATAGCCGTGAATCATCTTGATTCACTTGAGCCTGAACTCTCGACCTGCTGCTTGAGTCAGTTCCTCTGGATGCGGTTCCCGCTCCGAGAAGCTGGGCCGCAGTGACCCACACCGCTGCTGCTCCTGGCACGCCTGCCCACGTCCTCACGGCAGGTTACAGAGCTGGCGTGAGGAATGTGTGTCTACATCTCAGCCACCCAGATCCCAGACCACCCTGTGGCCCCCAGCCGCAGGCAGCAGGAGAGGTTTTACCCCCTTCAAACACTCCCTGCTCCATCCTGGGTGAAGACAATACCCTTAGGCAGCAAACCCGGGAGCATCTCACCTGGAAGAGGATCTGCAAGAGGCCGTGTAGGATGCACATCCGTCGTCCCAGGAAGAGAAAGAAGGGCACCACCAGCTCGATGAAGTGATTGACCAGGGTCTCGAACTGGTGAAACCACCATGGCGAGCGATGCATGAAGTAGGCGATGGGGTTGGGCACTGGCTGCGTCTGAAAGATGGAAGAAAAAAAAAGAATCAATCCCCCTCCAAGTCTCATCGTCAGGGTCTCTTGGCCTTTTTCCTTATTTCTTTCCCCAAGTTTGCTCACAGAAGAAGCACACTTTGCCTCTGGGCACTCACCTCTTTTTAGAGAAAATTATTCAGTTGTTTTCATGCAAATCCAAGGATTTTTTAAAGCAACATGTCTTTTAAAAAACCAGTCATAATTTTCTCTTTTTTCATCATGACCAAACCCCATCCATCTTAAATTAAATCCACCATTAGTTAATACTAAAATGTTACACAGAGCTCGACGCCGACGGATGTTAAATCGCTCTGCATGAGTGCTGAAGATCATCAGAGCAACTAAGCAGATACAGAAACTGAGAAAAAGATTTTCTCAGGGTCACACAGTAGGTCAAACAGAGCCAGGAATGGAAACCAGATTTCAAAACCTAGGAGATATTCTTTCAAAATGTTTAAATTTGAAATAAATGTGGTGGTAGAGTTGCTTTCCAAAATCGTAATTTGGGAGAGGAAAGTGTAATTCCTCTAAACATGCTATATTGGTTTAAGGTATTTACATACTGGCCTTGTGACAATATTATTCTTCCATCAGCCTGCAATTTTTTGACACTGGGAGATCTTCCATCCACTACAATAAAGCTGCAAATTTTACAAAGGAAACAAAACCAAATCCTGATATGTTAATAACTGCCACCCTAAGAAATGCTGCAATTTTAGCAAAAAGAAAGAATGATTTATCTTAGCTTATCTGACAAGCTCAAATTTATTAGTATTGTTTTAAAATGGTGACAAAAAAAGAAGAGAGGATGAAGATGCAAATTTTAATTGAAGGAGACACAACACATCTTTAAATTATTTGTAGTTAAATCTAAAATACAAACAAAACAGGGAAAATACTGTACTATGCATGGCAACTGACCGTGCTTCCACTGCCAAATCCCACAACTATTGTAATTCCTTATTAGCAAAGCTGGGATTAATAAAGTTGTTGCTTTATATGGATTTGAGGCTGCTGTAACCCCTTAGGACAGGAGACCGCATCCTTCCTTCCTCGGACACCGGCGCCGGATGGAGCAGTGTCGGGGTCAAGGAGCTCTGCCAAGTCCGCTCCGGCAAGGGGGGGGGGAGGTCAGGGCTCCCCCCTCCCGGGGCAGCAGCAGCCCCGGGTGCCACCAAGGGTCTTTCCCCTCCGCACGGGACCTGGTTTGAGTTAATCTCCTTGTTGGACTGCTCTTGAGCATTCCTAGAACGTCAGGCAGGCTCACAAAGAGATCTTCTTACCTTGATCCCAAACTGCTGAGAAATGCCTTTATCCTTCCAAAAAGGCAGGTTGCCTTCTTGGATTCTTTTTTTTTTTTTTTAAGTGCTTTAACCAAAACTGACCTAGATGATGCATCAGTCCTACCAGGTGTAGTGTTTAGCCTGAGGTGACCCAGTTTCCAGCACGTAACCGCCCGAACCCAGCAGGCTGGAGCCACAGGAAGGCAGCACTCATGTTTATCCCCCTCTTGCAATGCAGCCACTGCCCGTGGCCCCACTGGCAGCATGTCATGGAGCTGCTCCCCTTGATGCAGGCAGCACTTACGGCCAGGGACCACGGAGAACAGGCACTATTACACATGTAATTACACACTCACTTACATAGGTAATTAAATCTCACGATGTGGTGGCACTGTGCAGTTGGACATCTGACTGTGGCTGTTTAATTTTAAAGCTAAGACCATCCTTAGCTACTGAACATGCCATTGGATTCCTCCACCCCTTCCCCTCCATCACAGGCTGATGCCCTCATCTACCAAGGCAAATCCTGCTTGTTGCTTTGGGCTGGGACTCAAGGTATCATCCCCCACAACCTCCTGTGCTTGAGGGCAGAAAGATAAAATTCTTGACCCTAGTCCCACCGCAGTGGGACAAGGAGCAGAAGAAAATTCTTGGTTTGGGCTCATGAAGCAGCCATGTACGAGCTGGCGGGAAATAGCCCAGCCCGGGCCTGCTGCGGTTAATGCTTGTTAGCAGCAGCCGGATTCTTATTCTGAAGTAGAAATGGGGAAAAAGGAGAAGAGAAGCACAGAAATCTGGGGGGTTAATAATTCACTCCCAGGTGCTACAGCACTGCCACGCCTCACCTTATCAGCGCTGACACTAGCATGGTATCAGTGGGGGCAACGCCGTGCAACGGGCAAGAGAACTCCAGTGACAAGACCAAAAGTTGAAACCAGCAGCAGACACACCACTAATAACACACGGTTCCTCGGTGTTTCTTTTGACAGAGGGAAAGAAATGCATTTGCTAAGAGCAGCACTGGCGCTGGTGCCTCTGGGGATGCTATCAGTAAGGGACCCTCCCCACCACTGCAGCCGCTTCGACGGTGTGTAAACCTTGAATATGTAAAGCGAAACGCAGCGATAGAGAAGCGATTCGCACGTATCAGAAATTCGTTAAAAGGCTGCTGGGGGAGGAGAGTGCTCTGTGTGTGTGTTCCTCCCAATGCCTTCCAGATGCTGTGAGCGCGGGTGTAGCGCTGCACAGGTTTCCCGGGGAGAAAGCCGTGTTTACTTGGGAAGGGGTGTTCAGGCAAGAGCAAAGACCCAGAGCAACGTGTGAATCACCGCGGCCCCAAGCTCAGGCACCTGTGATGTGATGCTGGAAAGCTTTCTGGTTTCTGTTTGCTACCTGGGGGTGATGGGAGCACCCGACACCCCATCCGGTGGGTCCCGCTGCACAGCACCCAGCTGGCGCTGGGAGAGAGCCCCTGGGGCGCATCGCTGGGCTGAGAGAGGAAACTTGCCCACCACAGGCATGCCTAGTGCGTTCCCAGTGTAATCATATCCTACGGAAACATCGCGGCGGTGTCGGAGGCGGCGCTGTCAGAGCCCGGGAGGAGGGACAAGCATTCCAGGATCACTTCACCCGGCTTGTTTTGCTGGGGATTTTAAGCTTTGCTTTGTGGCTGGTTTGCAAGGAGAAGCATCCTAGGAAGCAGCCAGGAGTTCCCCTACATCGAGAACTCTGAACTCCTGACACACATAGACGCAGAAAAATGCAGCTCCAAGTCAGATGCAACTAAATAAACAAGCTCAAGGCAGACGTACGGTGAGAGGAACAGAGTGAAGCTCGTGTCTCCCACAAGCCCCATTTCTGGATACCCCTGTGAAACATAAAATGTTTTTAAATAAAAAAATGATTAGCAAAAACCAGCTTCATGTGTCAGCACAAGGTGCAATATAATAAACCTTCTGCCTCTCTCACACCTCCAGCAGCCAGAGAAAAACTGCGCTGCAAATGCGTTTTGAAATCGGATTGGGGAAAATTAATTCCATAATTCACGGGGCAGATTTGTAACGTGTGACTGCGGGGCGAGACTCGGCGGGGGCTGCTGAATGGATTCTGGGTCGCCAGCTAAGGCATGTTCTCTGGCTTGTATCTACCAGGTTTTATGAGGGCTGGTAACAGATTCTAAAAATATGCACAATAAACCGTTTTTTCTCCCTAAGGGGTCTATGGTTTAATTATGTTCTTAGTGAGAACCATTAAAGTGCTAAGTACCTGAAGACTCCTAATTTACTAAACTATACGCTACTAAAACCCAACAGAAGGCTATTATACACCAGAGTAAACGCTCTTCTCTGGGACTGTAAATGCACAGGGTCTCTCCTCTCAGCCTCCTTATTGGTATAGCATTACATAAACTCCGACAGAGTATGTAATCCCAGTGTTAGATACCCCAGATCAGCCTAGGGAAATCTCCAGGCTCTCCTACACGTGTATGTGAAAACAAGTCCCACATTGTCCTCGCACAACCCACTGCTCAGACAGGGCCGGGACTGTTATTACAGCGGGAGCGGCACAACTCCCAGGCAAGTAACGGGGTGGCACGGGAGCGCGATGCTGGAGGAAGCCCCTGTCTTCTCCAGATCACAAATGAGGAGGAGCCCAGAGATATATCAAGTAACTTTTATCCTGTGCAAGGATGGGTTTTTACATTCCTTCACAATAAACTGTGACACAGTGTCAGGACTCAGTGCTGCATCTGATCACTCATCGGAGTGCCTCAACAGCTCCAACTCATAAGGCGTCTTTCAAAAACCAGTAGCAAGTTATGAATGAATCAGTTTCAAAAAGGCGAACAAAAAAATCCATTCTTCCACCTCTCTGCACAAGATAAACTCAGATTATCTATTGATTCAGATAACCAAAAGTATACTTGGCATTAATATTAAAACAACACTAAGGACAACCTTTCAAAACATGTGATGTCTATCACAGAAATCTGGCTTGGTGAAAAACAAATCAAGCCATAAATACTCCTATACGCTCTAGATACTATTATTTCTTTTCCCATCGAAAGGCACCTACTTAACCAAAATACACAAATCTTAGTGCACTTAATGTCAGAAAAATCTTGAAAAACAGAAAGAAATGGAATAGCAGCAAATATGAATAAATGATGAGTGGAAGCAACTATTCCATCAAAAGAAATAGGATTAACTTGGTGCAACAAACACTTCAGTAACAGCTTGTGGGCACCGGAGGCTCCAACAGTCAAAAGAGAGGGAAGCCTCTGGCACAAACAGAAAGGTGTGAAGAAGAGCAGTACCCTGGAAAAGCAGGCTCAGAGCTACTACTGAGTGTTTTCCCGAGTGTTTGTAGAAGGTGCAGATGAACTGTAAAGCACAGAACTCCAACTTCCCAAGGCACTGAGGCATGAACTCATCCTCTCAGCTTCAAAGAAAAGCTCTCGGTTCTCTTGTACTTCAGACCAAAAAATAAAAAGGATTCTCCATCGTAGAGTATAATTTGATCAACATGATCCAAGAGGCTGTTTCTCTGCCAGTCTATTCTGCTTCAGATCTTGACCCTTCCTCCTTACGCATCTGCAGATCAAAGCTCCACTCTCCCAAGCCCCAGCAGAAATGGCTTCCCAGCCCCGTGCAGAAGAGCAAGAGGCAGCAAGCAGAAAGGAGATAAACTGGGTCACTCGCA